AGGCAAACATCACAGGCAGCGGTAGAAAGGGGAGGAGGTTGCCTGCAAAGTGAGGTTTTTTTTATGAGTGTTGTGAAATTTACCCACCGTCCCAGACTGTAAGGGGGAGGCTCGTTGAGGAAACATGTTGATGCACAAAAATGAAAGAACCCAGCGAAAGAAAATGGCCTAAGAGTTGACCAAGCTTTCCCCCTTTAAGTTGAACTTGACTTTATTCATAAAAAAAAATGTAAGCCCCAAAGGCCAAAAAAAGTTAAAATTGGGCAAATCCGTTTTGCTTTTAATTTCTGATTAAACTGTAAATTGGCTTTTAATCAATGTCTGCTGTTTTGGGACAAGGTAATCTAAAATCAATTTGCTTTAAGTGGAAGAAAACTGAGTAAATTAAGTGTTTTTTCATGCTTAAATTGTTGGAAGTAATACATTTAAATGGTTTAAGGCAATCTATTTCCTCAAACAATTTGAGTTGAACTAATTCATCTAAGTGTTCTTGTGACCACAAACATATACATTTTGAGTTGTAGTCGGAAAGCAGGAAATGGTGGAATATCAGTTGTTATGTTGATGATGTGTTTTCAGCTGAGTCACTGCTGAGTGTCTTCATTGTCCTCCTCTTGCTCCAGTTAGCGGTTTATAGCGCTGTGCTCCGTCAGAGACACAGAGATGACGGATGGTCATGACAACCTTGTGATGTCTGGTCACCAGACACATGAGCCTCCTCGGACCTGCCAAACACCGTGTCAAATACCATGACCAACTGCTGTACCAGAACCACCTCTGAGAGACAAAGACCAGTTGCCTCAAGGAAAGCGAACTGTTGTTGACTCACACAATTGTTGGACTCACAGCGACCCACAACAATACAGCCTTCTGCTATTACTACCACTACTGTAAAGCTAATTTTCAAGTTGCAGTAAACAATATTTTTCTGTGTACTTTTTATATCAAATATTTTTATGAATAATGTGAAAAGTATAACTTTTAGCTTATTGTTAAAGTTCCAGTGTGTGGGCTTGAGTGGTATCTAGCAGTGTAGTTGCAAAACACAACCCCCTCGCTTCACCCTGTGGGTGGAGGAGAAACTAAGGTGGTCACAAAACACTCAAAAAACCCCCCTATCAAGAGCCAGTGTTTGGTTTGTCCATTCTATAGAAACATAGCTGGCTAACATGGCGAATTCCATGAAAAGTGACCCACAGAACATCAAAGCAGCTCATTCTAAGGTTACAAAAACACAATAATTCTTATTTTCAGGTGATTATACACTAAGGAAAACATACCTATGAATATTACCGTATATTCCATTTCTAACAACAGATCCTCCTAAATGTTACACACTGTCCAGAACCCCATAGCAACTGCCAAAAATGCTGTAGAAGCCTTCAACCACCCAAAGCGTCAACTCAACTTCTATAACCACAGCAAAGTATATAATAATGGAGAATGTTATTATTTGTATATGAAATGGCATATGGTGCTATTGTATATAATGGTCTGAAAGTCTGTTCAAAGGTCATACATGAGACTGTTGCATCATGGTTGCATGGAGACCTCAACGTTCTGTGACCTTATTAATATTGTGGCGCTGCTCTCGCTGCTCTTGCTGTGCTTCTGATGGACAGCTCACAGGTGTTTGGCTTAACCAGGCTATATTTACACAGGTCACAGATAGAACTGTAGGGCGTGCTACAGGCAGGGGTCTGATTACAAGACCATTGGTAAATCTCAAATACGTGTTTGTCCATTCTGAGAAAGACACCGGTTGTCTCAAGTTAATTTTGAATTTGAGTCTCAGGTGTTGTGAGCTGAAAATAATTGCAATTTGCAGTGGTACCTACTATATGTTTGACAATAGTGGTCGTGTTGCTGCTGTTCCACTGTTCTACTTCTAATGGTACATAAAAATATCTTTCAGTAACCACAGTAAAAAAAGTGTCCTTAGCCTCAGGTGGCACTGAAATAGGTATCCTCTGATAGTTTTCTGGCTAAACGTTTGTACCACTTTTCAGCATCTTCTTTTTTTAAAAAGAGAACGTAAATAAAATATTGATGTTCTCCTTCCAACCATGTTTATTAGTTAGTTACATTACATTTATTTAGCTGATGCTTTATCCAAGACAATCTTAAAGTAGGTGTATTCATGTGGATGCAAAAATCCACTATGTACAATCCATTTCATCAAATGCAGGTAAATGTAGCAATTCAGCATGAAAGGTATTAAGTCAGATGTGAACTTCTCTGAATGGTAAAGTCACTGAGAGGTAGAAGTATTAGTAGTTATGTAATGTAAAGGGAAAGGTCTGGCCTATAATTGTCAATATTGACCATATTGGTCAGAATATACACTCAATTACTATGCAGTGCCCTCAACTCCAAAACAGGATGCACACCAACTGGTGGCTGCCTGCAGACAGGAAGTGAATTGTTTAGAAATGACTTCACCTCTTAGTTACCACCATGATCCCCTCCCCAACTCTATTTAACCCTGAACAGACTTTTAAAAAATGATGCTAAAAACAAAGCAGCTCTGTAGTCCCTGAAAAGCTGACGTTGTGGAAGGACTTTGCTTCACTGGTATGTATGTAATTTAGTGTTATGTCTATTAGGCATTATATCCCTATGTGCAGTGAAAACCCCTGTTTAATGTGACACAATCCATTCATTTCTAAATTAAGAGCTGTCACTAAACCACAGGAACCAGGAAATGCAATTCCAAGAATAGTTTCTCAGATAAACAGAATCCCACCATGATGGAGCGCTGGCAAAACACCAACTTTGAAAAACTGCTATTCCCACATGTGGAGACTCCCCTCTGCTCTTCCTTCTTTCTTGCTTTATTTTTACCCACCCGAATGCAGCTGTTTCCAAGTGGGCCTGCAGAGTGAACTGCTGGGATACATGGAGGATGGAGGGGGACACTGATAGGGAGGTTCAGTCCTGTAAAAGAAACAACCAGAGACTGTCCTGGGAGCAGGATGAATCACTTAGCACTGGGAGATTAGGACAGCATGTACTTGGATCAGACCATGTGAGACTGCAAATATGTGGAGCTGATGTCTTTTTATGGTCCAATCAGTGTTTCCCTCTGCTGTAATAGCCGTAATAATTATACAATTACTGAAGCCCCTAATGTCATTATTGGATGCAATGAGACATGCTAAAAAATCTTTGAGACACGTTGGTCACATAAAGAGCACATAAATATGTCTTTTTTTTTTTTTTAAGGCTCACTTACCAAGGCCTGAAAATGTGTCTTTCTGTCCTTTTATTTGGTACCTTCAGATTCTTAAAAAAAAGCAATCTCTTTTGGCAAGAGGACAGTTTTGACTTTATTTAAAGCTCCCCTCCTCTGTGTTTTTTTCCTGTGTGATGTTTGCACATACATTATTCTGCACAGTAAAGAGTTCGACGCTAGAAGGATGTTTTCACATTCATCTGCGGTTTGAAAGGGGAAACCTTCTCTGTGTGTACTCATTGAAAATCTGATTTTAAGGGGCCAGACCTATGAGCACGATTTTTGGCATCACAAATAATTTAGTCCAGTATAGGAGTAGGAGTAGATGCCTTTTTTAAGATTTTAATGTGGAAATTTTCCTTTTTTTTTGAAGAAAAAATATATCAGATACACAATATTGTTTCAATCAGACTATTGTATATATGTCTTAATATGTGTCTGGAGGGGATCTTAAAAAACCCCATCATCATTCATCTATTTATTGTTTGCTGATTCCAGTCAAGCAGTGTCATGTGACTTGACATTCATACAGTGTATTTGTATACTACTGCCACTGTGGAAATGAATGATCATTGTGCTGTGTGATAGTATCAGCATACATAGTAAGAAAAGCAGGGGACCCATACAGCTTCCTTGTGCAAATCCAAAACAAAAGCCATACATGTCATGTATTATTACCAAGACTAATGTAAACATTCCTCCCTGTGATGTACTGAATGCTTTAAACTCGATAAGAACACATTCATAGACTGACTTGAATTTCAAGACTGTGTAAAAGAATACTGTGTAAAACGCTGAGGTTAAATTTAAAGCTCCAGACCCCAAAAAAGTTACTCAATCAGTGCTAATGCTTACTCCAGAGCCCTAATACTTAGCATCCTTCGTTCCTAAAGCTATGTGAATGTGATCATCACTTCCATTTGATTCTGAATATGAATTGTGAATTAACCTCAATTTTCCAGTGTCTCAAAATGTTGTATATCATATGAATATGTGTCCTCCTTTTATGTAGTTTTTTGATTAAAGATTTTAAAACTGCACTGATCAATATTTTTATATTAATAATGGATCAAATGACTATGTGTAATGTGAAAGGCTCTTATTTGCTAACATACAGACTATTACCACCAAACTCAGAGAGTTCCCTTAGCTTATAGTCTTTATGGTCTTTAAGCTAATTGTTTTGGTTTTCGACTTTACTGTTAGGGTTCAGTCCCATTGCTCTCCTCAGAGTAATTTTTAATTTTAGCGAATATCTCTAAAAATCCACTGTACACTACCTGCTCAGCAATCAGCAGACAGGAGTTGGTGGAGACCATCAAACTATATAAAGATGGACGACAGCTCTTCAAAAGTGCCCTTGCCCCAAATGGCCCAAAAAAATCAATTAATGCAGCTTAAAAGATAGTCACTGCGTAATATTTAAACTTTGCTATCAAAAACTGTGTGTCTTTCTAATACATGTAAAATGACCTTTTTTTCTGGGCTCCAGTTAGTGAACTCATTAGCTTAGATCCTTTTGCTTGCAGCCTTTTGCGAGGAAGTACACATCAGTGAATCAGAGGACAGCCTAGTTATGTAATTCTATAAATACACTTTACATATTTGGAAAACATAATAATGAAGTTGTATTGAATCAAAAGATCAGTGTTTGATATGAAACCTTTAAATCAACTTGTATCATTCAGGTTGTGAACACGGTGTTTACTGTGTGTGTGTTTTTGGTGGCTACATTATATTCCCAGCTGCTCTATGTGTCAGCGACAGATTATAAATAGACCCAGGACTAAACTGAAAAAGTCCCTCCAGCTGAGGGGGACTCATGACAGGGGGGAACTTTCCCTGACAGGCTTACAGGTAATTTCTATTTTGTACTCAGTCCTTGATAATATCCCTAAACACAGCGTCATGGGAACTCACTAATCACTGTTTGGCTCGTCTGAGGACTGTTTGTCTTGTGTTAGACAAGTCATCTGCGACAGTTTGATTCAGGCAGGGAGAAATTGTTTGCATTGCAGCTAATATGTCTTAGATATACCTAGTAACCTAGTCCTAATGAAAAATCTAGGGACATACAAAAGCCAGTGGCTCTCAGCTTAGTAACCAGACTGAATATTATGGCATTTTACCTCCAGTGACATTAGGCTGTATCTATTTTAGCTGTAGTTTTTCCTCCCCTAAATGCTTATAGTGACTACTTTTTTCAATATTAACCAATGACATGCCGTGTGTTTTAAGGGCACACTCTGCTATCTGAACTATAATTATTAGTTGATTGGATATGTGAGAACAGACTTGTTTTGAATGTAGCAAAAACCAAAATGTTTAGGGCAAGACATGCCACTAATAATGATAATCAGCTATGGCTGCCACTCAAAGGCTTGGATATTGAAAAGGCTCGAGAGGCAGATTTGCTTGTTTGATTCTGCAAAGGGCAGCTGTCATGGGAGAAACATTCAAAATATTGTTAAGAAAATAGGTTGTGAAATACCTCTAGACACAAGCACTAGTTTTATCTCACCTTAATTACTGCTCAGCAGTGTGGTCGAGTGCAGCCGAAAAAGATTTGTCTAAGCTCCAAATAGCCCAGAATAAAGCTGCAAGGCTCGCATTGCCCTGTTCGTTAGGTTTGAGTACGAACAGAGAGCATGCCTGACTCTTATGGCTCAGAGAGGAGACTGTATGCAGTCTAATGAGTTCCTTTAGGAAAATTGGTTATAGTGAACAACCAAATTATCTGTACTCAAAAATAAATTATGCGAGAGACCAACGTACTCACACTACCAGGCAGGCTACTGGGGGTTATCTAGTTAAACAACAACTTAGAACAGATGCAGTGTGTACAGGCTGTTTGAGGGCCAGGGGCTAACAAAATAAAAATGGGACCAGCATGCAGAAAATTGTGATGCATTTAATCACCTTAAATGCATTCAAACGGCTTAGTCTGGACGCTTGAACGCATTGTATTGTGTTTTGTCCACTTTATCATGTTTCCTCTACTGGAAGGACATCCCCACTGAGTCCACCAGTGAGTGTATAGAACAAGTTACCAACTATAATTACTGAAGCACTTAGTAAGGCAAGTTTTTTAAGACTTCTTAAATAAAGACATTAATAATACCCCATTGTTAAGTAACTGGCAGAATAACTACGACAGAATCTAACTGGATGTGTTGCGATGTCTAGATGTTATATGTTTCTTTTTATATGTATGTTTTGTTATGTGTGGAGAAGAGTATCTTCTACCTCAGTGGCAGCTAATGGGGATCCAAGAATAAATTATATCTGTTACAGAATTACAGTCATTTTGTATTTTACACTTTGGTGGCCGTAGTTTAAGCATCACATATGGACAACATCCCATTCTTCTTATTATGAGTTATCATGCAGAACATGAAGTCACTGTAGGTGTGACCATCTCGGCTGTGTCAAGGCAGCCACAATAAACTAGTGAAACAGGAAATATTGACCCTCAAGTGTAAAAATTGTCAAATTATACATTTTTGTATTTAAGTTATTAAATTAAGTTTTAAATAAACACAACTTTGATAATCAATTTCCAGTTTCATCAGGTAAACTGTAATAAAATACTTGTTGGACATTAAAACATTGAGAGAACATTGAGATCCTTGTTTGCATTTTTTGTTTGTTTGTATTATCAAAATTCAAGTTAAATACTAGTTAAGAACATTCATGTACATATTAAAATTCCACTACTTTTAGACCAACCTTTAGTATTTAGTGTGAGATGAGGACTGGACATTGTGTTAGATTTGTTTAAAGAAGCATTTCACCCGTGGAAACATTAATCTTTATTGAAAGTGGGTTATATATGTAGTCGAAATGTAACATAAATTTTGAATTTGGTGCCTATTTGACCGAGAAAAGAGTGTTTGTAGTCTCAC